AAAAATACAAAGATATTTATACATATTAAATAATTAATAAAATAAACTAAACTAAATATATCAAAGGAAATAAAGTTACCATTTTGCTAGGCAATAAAGTTGCTATATCAATAAAATTGTCAGAACTGCAGGTAACTAAATGGACATTTATGATCTATGTGATTATCAAGAGCAATAAAATTAATATCTAAGAATTTGCATAATTGATCAATGGTAATAAAATGGATAAAATAATCTTCATAAAAGATCTACATGGCAATAAAGTTGACTTTACATTCTACCAATTAAATCTATCTAAAATTTTATCCATCATAACATAATAAAATCTAAATATTTATTGTAGGCTAGTATAAATGAACTTTTGAAATAACTTTGCAAAATCATTTAAAGAGGGTTTTTTTAATAATAAACTGATAAACATTATTGATATTTCTTTTTTTTTTTTCTTTTTTAGAGAATAACTTATAGGTTTATTGTGAGAGAGTACTTTAAAATATTATTATTAGTAGAATTAGATCTTTTCAAACTTATTATATTACAATAAAATAATGCAAAAAAATTTAAATTTAATATAAAAATAAACTTTCATATTTATTTAATATATATATATTTTACAAATTTTTAAAATAAATACATTAAAATATTTTTATAAAGATTATTGATATGTTAATAAATTTATGTAAATAAATAATTTTTTTATTCTTTTGTTAATAGAAAAACTGAATTACATTTAATTTTTTTATTAATATTAAAATTATTACTATTGAATAATAAAAAAGATTCTTTTGCATCTTTAGGTTTTTTTGAGATATAAACTTTTCCAATATCATTAAATGAATTACTAAATCAAAAATATTGATGTTTAATATTGAAAAAGGTTTAAAATAAGACTTCAAAAAATTATTGAAATTATATTATTCTAATTATTTTTATAATGAACTGAATTATTTCCTACTATTGATATTTTATAACCTTTTAATATCTTTTATAGTATTTATTTTTGTTTTTAATATATTTTTTAATTTTACTAAAAAATGAATTGCAAATAAATTTTATTTATTTTAAAATTATAATAAACAATAATATTATTATATCATTTTAATATAATCAATTATGTTTAAAATCACAAAAATAAATTATTTTTATTTTTATCTGAATAATTATTACATATAATTTTTAAATATTTTTTTTCTTCTTTAGCAAATTCTTAAAGAATATGATAAACTAAATTTAATGTAGTATTTGTATCTTTTGCTATACCTTCAGATAGTTCATCTTTTTTAATAATAAAATTATTTAATCCTTCTTCTATTTTAAATATATCAAATAAATGAATTAAAAAGGTATTTTTAAAAAAATTATTTCTACTTATTGTAATAAATGTAATATTAATACATTTTGTATTCAATTATAATATATATGTGTAATAATCAAATTATTTTATTTTTATTTATATTATTATAATAATAATCACATTTTAAATCTATTACATCTTGAAATTCTTTATATTGTATATTAATTTGATTAAATTTCTCTAAATTGATTTTTTTTACTATAGTACAAACAACTTAGTCATAACAAAAAATTTTTTAAGTAGCCAAATTTGAAATATTGATCTTTTATCATGTAATAAAAAAATTTTGCAATTTTATTGGTCAATAAATATGCACGTAATAGGGATATCAGATATAATAGTCAATCACAATTATATAATCAATCACTATTATCAATAATCAATTACCATTATTAAAAAAATAGCTTAGATTAATTATTTCTTTTATTATATAATAAATTTCTTACTTTATATTTTTGTAAGAAGAATCTTTTTTTTTTATAAAAATAAAAAAATTTTATTAAATAATAAAGCATAATACTTACCTTGTATGATGTATCATATATGACACTTTCACTAGCCAGATTTTATTAATACTTCTGATTTGTAAATATGTCATATCCAACAAAATATGAAAAGCATTTAAGAAAAGCTTGTGAAGCAAGAACTGTGAGCTAAAATATCAAAAGTAACATTGATAATATGCAAATTGATGTTAATGATATATCTATTTACGATGACTTTAATAATGTTAACCTTCTTAATGTTAATGATGATGCTGATAATTTTTCTATTTATAATAAGCCAGTAAAGAATAATGAAGCTGTAAATATTATAAAAAGACTTTAAGAAATAGCAAAAAAATATTATCAAGAACATACCTCTTATAAAATACATAGACTGTATTATGTTATTAACTCAAGATGCACTAAAAGAAGAAAGAAATAGCAATAACATGAAGTAGCAAAGAGACCCTTATATTAGATACTTTTTGAAGTACTAAGAAATTTACTAAGAATATTAATGTAAAAATAGATGATAGTACTAGTGAGTAGTCAGATAATGAAATTGAGTGTTACAATTAGCATAATAGAATTTTAATTGCTCTTAAAAATCTGGAGTTAGATATCAAAGAAAAATACAAATAGTGAGATTTAGATGCTTTTAAATAGCATTTGTCTTTACCTTTAACTTGTAAAAAACAACTACTTAAAAATGGAAGTAAGTAATATTGTTATTAATATATTAGGAAAAGGAATATATCATGTCAGATGTGTTTATTTTTAGATACATAAGTATATAACAACTTACCAAATTCCTTATTTTTATTAAGGACATCATGCTAAGATTTGAAGCTTTTTTTAGGATGAGAATATCCTCCTTCAAGTAAAATCATATATTTAGAAGCATAAGTGAGATATTACTTTACAAATGCTAATTATACAAATGAATGAGGTCATTTTACTAGGGCTTAGATTTGCACTATCTCTGACTATACATGCTAATACTGTGAAAAATTATTTGAAAGAGCTAGAATATGTGTATACTAAGGTAAAAAAGGAAAAATATATAGATAGACATGAGAGAAAAGATGTGGTAGCTTATCAAAAAGTATTTTTAGAATGAATGAATAAACTTGAGGATAGAATACCTATTTTCTCAGGAGATAATTTGAAAAAAGTAACCTAGCCAGATAATAATATGCAATTACTTATCTTTGTTATATATAATAAATATATTTTTTCAGCTTATGATAGAAGTCAGAGCCTTTGGATTCCTAACAAAGAGCAACCTTTACAAAAAAAAGTAATGATCACTTAATTTATGTTAGCAATTTCTTAATTAAAGTTTGTGGTTGTCTTGCTCTTTCTAATGAAATGCAAATACCAAATATTCCTAAAGAAGCCTATGTCATTATATATCAGAAAAAATAATAATGGATGGTAAAAGGCTGAAGACTTAGTAAATCAAGTGGTTGAATGTGCTATACCTATATTTGAAGTACGTTTTCTAGGATATCAAGCATTGTTTGTATTTAATAATGCATCAAATCATGCTGCTTTTTCATTAGATGCACTCATTGCCAAATATATAAATCTTAGTTCTAGAGAAAAGCAGCCAAAGATATACAGCACATATTTTAGTGATAGGATTCAATAAGATATAGTTTTTCCATTAGATCATTATATTTCTAAGTTATGTGAATAGCTAAAAGGATTAAAATAAGTTTTAATAGAAAGGAAATTGTGATCAAACAAAGGATTAAAATTAGAAGAAATACGAAAAATAATGAGTGAGCAATCAGACATTTTAGCGTAAAAGGGACAACTAAAAGAAGCTATTATTGTAGCTGGATATCAAGTTATATTTATCTCAAATTTCATTGTAAGCTTAATTATATTGAAAACTTCTAGAATGCAGCTAAAAATTTAGTCAGCTACATTATGATTACTCGTGAAAAGAATTATAAGAAACTGTTCTATTAGCTCTTACTTTTGTTTTACTTGCAACTATCCACTAGTATATAAGAAAAGCTTTTCATTATATAGATGTATATCAGAAAGGTTTAATAGGCAAAGTAGTAGAATTTGCAGTTAAAAAGTATCATTCATATTGTCGAATTTCTGATTCAGTCTTACAATCAGTTGATATTTAGTAAATTAGTTTTATTTGCATAAATTTTCTCGTATTAGCTATAGGCAAAAAATTTTGCTGAGAATAAAACAAATTTGTCTTTTATTCTATTATAGTAAAGTATTCTATCATAATAAACTAAAATATAACTTGATGTCCAGCTGCAATAATAGCTTCTTCTAGTTGTTCCTTTTATGCTAAAAAGTCTGGTTGCTCACTCATTAATTTTCATGCTTCTTCCAATTTTAATCCTTTGTTTAGCCACAATCTCCTTTCTATTAGAACTTATTTTAACCCTTTTGACTATCTACATAACTTAGAAATATGATAGTCTAATAAAAAAACTATATCTTGTTAAATCTTATCACTAAAATATGTACTGTTCATCTTTAGCTACTTTCCTTTAGGACTAAGATTCATATATTTAACAATGAGTGCATCTGGTGAAAAAGTAGCATGATTTGATGTATTATTAAATGCAAATAATACCTAGCATCTTAGAAAACGTATTTCAAATATAGATATAGCATATTTAATTACTTGATTTACTAAGTCCTCAGCCTTTCACCATCCATTATTATTTTTTTCTGAATATATAATGACATAGGCTTCTTTAGAAACATCTGGTATTTATATTTCATCAGAAAGAGTAAGACAGTCACAAACTTCAGTTAAGAAATTACTAACGTAAATTGAGTGACCATTACCTTTTTTTATAAAGGTTGCTTTTCGTTAGAAATTTAAAATCTTTGACTTCTATCCTAAGCTGAGAAAATGCATTCATCATGTATAACAAAGATAAGTAGTTGTATATTATTATCTAGTTAGATTATCTTTTCCAAATTATCTTCTGAGAAAATAGGCATTCTATTCTCAAATTCATTTAATTTTTCTAAAAATACTTTTTAATAAGCTACTATATCTTTCTTCTCATGTTCATCTATATACATTCCTTTTTTTACTTCAGTGTATACATATTCTAGCTCTTTCAAATAATTTTTCGCAATATTAGTATATATAGTCAGAGATAATGCAAATCTAAGCTCTGGTAAAATGATCTCATTCATTTGTACCATTAGCATTTGTGAAGTAATGTTCCATTTATACTTCTGAACATATAATTTTACTTGAAGAAGAATATCTTCATTTCAAAGAAAGCTTCAAATCTTAGCATGATATCCTCAGTGAGAATAAAGAATTTGGTGAGTTGTTATATACTTATGTGCCTAAGAATGAACATATCTGACATGATATACTCCTTTTCCTACTACATCAATAATAATATTACTTGCTTCCATTTTTGAGTAGTTGTTTTTTACAAGTTGAAGGTAAAGATGAATACTATTTAAATGCATCTAATCTTACTATTTGTGTTTTTTTTTTGATATCTAATTTCAGATTTTTAAAAGCAATCAGAATTCTATTATGCCAACTGTAACATTCAATTTCATCATCTGACTGCTCACTAGTACTATCATCTATTTCTACATTAATATTCTTAGTAGATTTCTTAGTATTCCAAAAAGTATCTAATGTAAGGATCTCCTTTACTACTTCACGTTGTTGCTATTTCTTTCTTCTTTTAATGCAGCTTGAGTTACCAATATAACACAGTCTATGTATTTTATGAAAGATATGTACTTGATAATATTTTTTTGCTGTTTTTGAAGTCTTTTTACAATTTTTATAGCTTCATCATTCTTTCTTGTTTATTATAAACAAAAAATTATCAACATTATTATTAACATTAGAAAGGTCAACATTTTTGAAATTATCATAAACAGATATATTATCAACATCGATTTGCACATTATCAATATTACTTTTAATATTTCAGCTCACAATTCTTGCTTTATAAGCTTTCCTTAAATGCTTTTCATATTTTATTAAATGTGGCATATTTACAAATCAGAAGTATTAATAAAATTTAGCTAGCGAGAGTGTTATATATGATACATTATATAAGGTAAGTATTATGTTTTGTTATTTAATAAAAGTTTTTATTTTTATAAAAAAAAAGATTCTTTTTACAAAAATATAAAGCAAGAAATTTATTATGTGATAAAAGAAATAATTAATCTGGGCTATTTTTTTAATAATGGTAATTAATTATTAATAATGGTGATTGACTATATAATTGTGATATACTATTGTATTTGATATCCCTATCATGTGCATATTTATTAACTAATAAAATTGCAAGATTTTTTTATCACATGACAAAAGATTGATATTTCAAATTTGGTCACTTAAAAAATTTTTTGTTGTAACTAAGTTATTTGCATTGTATCAAAATTGATTTAATTTGATTTTACAACTAATTAAAAAAAAATCTATACATAAATTTTGATTAACTTTAAATTGATCTATGAAATAATCTTAGATCTAAACTTTGAATAAAATAAATATAGTGAAATCAAGAGTATGTTTTTTTAAAAAAAATAATAAATGATTAAATTTAATTAATATATAATAATTTATTATATTAATGAAATAAAATATTTACTAAAAGGAAAAATATCAGTTAAGTTTAACTAATTATAAAATTACATTTTTTAAGCAATTAGACATTATTTACAGAAATTATGAATTAAATCATTTAATATATAATAATTTAATCTTTCTGTTATTTAATTATAAATTAACTTTATATTATTTATAAGTATAGATGAGATTGATTACAAAAAAGTAAGAATATTAAAAAAATTAGATTAAAGATAGCATAAAAATACTTAATTATCTTAAATAAAAAATAATTAATTTATTATTAATAATTATATAAACATTTATTATTTATTAAATTAATTTAATTCTATAAAAAAGGTAAATAAATAAGAATAGCAGTCAAATTATTTAATACTATATAGATCTGAAAATAAGCATCCTATGATATATCATTTTATAGTAATTTATTTATTTATCATATAAATTTCTGATTATGGTACATTTCGCTAAAATCTGTTTTACCGAAACCCCTTTTGCTAAAGTATATTCACTGAAAAGACATTTTGCTAAATGTCCATTTTGTCAAATAAACATTTCACTGAAAGACATTTTCACTGAAATACCATTTCGCCAAAAGGACACCACCAAAATGCTGTTTTGCCAAAATGACATTTTGCCAAATCTGTTTTACCAAATGGACACTTCTTTGAATCTGTTTTACCTAAAGGACATTTCATCAAAAACAAAAATGATTCGCTATTAGTTATTAGCAACTTGCCAGATTTATTGAACTTTTTTATTATTTCTAATGAAATTTTTAAGAAAAAACTTACTTTATAATGTAGAACCTAAAAATGATAAGTTACAGCAAATTTCATAAGTTACGAGACATCTGGTAAAATTTTTGTCAGGATCTCAGGTTCTCAGGTTGTCAGCAAATTGAAAAAAATAATAAACACATGATATTAGCTAATCAATTTTTTGTATTTTTTTTTATTATATTGCTTCAGATAATAAATTTTGTCTAGAGTAATATAATAAAAAAAAATACAAAAAATTGATTGCTAATATCACGTATTTATTATTTTTTTCAATTTGCTAACAACTTGAAAACCTGAGAACCCAGCAACTTCTCAGCAAAAATTTTATTAGGTGTCTCGTAATTTATGAAATTTGCTATAAAGAAAATTATTATACTGAATAAACTTTATTAATCTGATGCAGAATTTAACTGAAACACGTTTTGCTAATTCATAGAATAGCTGATAATATCTGAGATATTTCTGAGAAAATTTTAAATGGATTTGAAAAGTCAACCAACTACACTTTTATATGGGTAAAAAAATTATGTCACTATATTCAGACAGATCTGAACATAGTGATTATATTTTTTCTTATACTAGTTTTACTGAGTTTTTTTATTGATCTGCAAAATGATTATCTGTTCTGAGACTTTTGAAATTAGCTGTATATGAGTCCATTATGGATTTTAGTCTAGACAGTAAGTATAATTAATATTTTAGAACTTTTAACATACCTGTATCTGATCTAGCTTAATTTTGATGATTACTGTAGATGATCTTATAGTCAAAAGATATTCTTTCCTGCTGAATTAGATGAAAATTTACTTGATGAATATCAAGGAGAAATTAGTATTAAGTACTGAGTATACAAAGGTCTCACAAAATATTATGAAAAGGTTAGCTAAAATCACATTATTATTAATTGATCATTATATCACAGCTAACAAGATTTGCACAAACTAGTGTAGATGAAATTGAAGACATTATTAACAAGGCTAATCTTAGTTATTTCTATAGATGTGGGATAAACTCATTTCATTTTTATAGATTTGATTATTAAAGATTTGATGATACTGTCGAAACCAAAGGATTTTGTTCTACAACCTTAAGGGTTATAAATTTGAAATCAACATCTCTAAAAACATTTTATAAGTTTATTATTGAAAATTGAATTTAAATAGCCTAAATAACATTTGAATAATTTAATGTGTGTTCATTTACAGGGTACAATAATAAGATCGTAATCTAATATGGGTATAACATTAATACATAGAGACCTATAATTGATAGAAGTATTTTATTTTAACTAGTGTAAAAATAAAATTGCATAAATATTTTCTTTATCTAACCACAACCTTTAAAAAATAAGGGTGAACTGTCAAACTTGTAAATTCAGACTGGAAGAATCGTAGTAATACTACTACAGAATCTCAAAAAGAAATGAGAAGAAATGGAGATAATAATTTACAGGTTTATATAATTCTAAATTACTAATTGATAATATTTTTTTTCTAATATTTAAAATATTACTATGATGAAAATCACATGAATAAGATTCTTTTGATGGATTTCTTCAAGTCCACTAATAATATTATTTAATTGTAATAATTTATTAATCCATTTATATTTAACTATATTTGATAAATTTTTTCTTAAATTATTATTATTTGCATATTTTATTATTACCATATAATCTAAAGTATTTATATCTTGAGTAAATCCATATAATTAAATAAGTTTTTCATCTGAATATTTTTTTAATTGACTATAACAATTATAATGATATTTCCACTAAAATAAAAATAAATTAATTTAATAATTTATAATTTAAAATTAAATATAATTATAAATTTATATCTCATTTAAAAATTCCTTATTTAAATTTGATGAATTATTAAAACTTTAAGAATTACATCAATACTACCATTTCTAATCCAATTATTATCATGATATGAATAAAATTCAATAAATCCATCAATCCAAGTTGCTTTATATATAATACTAAATTCTCCTTTATCAAAATACTCAATATTTTTAATTTTATTATAAGGAATCCATTCTAATAATTGCTTTTTATTTTGAATATTTATTTGAATATTTTGAATAAATTCATCAATAAATTTATTTTTACTAGTCCAATTAGAAAAATTTTGTTGAAATAAATTATAATAACATTCTTTACACCATTTATATCCAATATTATTTTTATTATAATTTAAGCAAATCCCTTTTTTTCTAAATAATAATTTATAGTATTAATATTATAATTATTTATTTTATAATATTTTTAAAATATAAAAATATAATACTACTTAATAAATATATTTATTAAATATATAATAATAATGTTTTATATATTAATTTAACATACTTAAATTATATATATTTATAAGAAAGTAAAAGTAACTTATCTTCTAATAAATTTATTTTTAAATAAATAAAAAATTTAATTGATAATTATAATAATAAGTATAATTTAAATAATAATAATCAATAAAAATAACTTATTATCTATTAGATATTTTAAATAATATGTATGTTTAATTGACTTTAAATTACTATAACAAATATAATTAAATACTAATAATTAATAAAAATAACTTACTATCTATTATATTATTAAAATTTTTTAATTAAAAAAAATTTAATTTTATTTATAATAAAAATTAAATTAAATACAATTATTTATAAAAATAATTTACCATCTAGATTATTAAATAATTATTTAAATATAATTAATTAATTAAAAATACTTATTATTTAAATTATTAAATAATTATATAAAGATAATTAATTAATTAAAAAAACTTATCATTTAAATTATTAAATATTTTTAATAAAAATTATATTAAATTTAAATTATAATAAAAAATTTAATTAAATATTAAAATAACTTACAATCTATATTATTAAATATAATAAATTAAAATTAAAATAAAATTTTTAATTAAATATAATTAATAAAAAAAATTTAATTAATTTCTTATATTAAAATTTAATTAATTAATTAACTTACTATCTAAATTATTATATATTTAATTTTTTAAATAAAAAAATTTAATAAAACTTATTATATTAAATCTCTAGTTCAATATAATTAATTATTTAAAATAACTTACAATCTAAATTATTAAATATTAAAAAATTTAATTTTAGTAAAAATATAAATAAATTAATAAAATAAAAGTAACTTACTTTCTATAATTTTAATTATTAAATTTATTTTTTTTAAATAAAATAATTCAGTTAAATTTAATTTTAGTAAAGTATATATAAAAAATAATTTACCATCTAAATTATAAATATTATTATTTTTATAAATATTAAAATCTAATTTTTAAATTATAATAAATTGTTTAATAAAAAATAGTATCAACTAATAAAAAATTTACCACCTAAATTATTAAGTAGTTTTTAAGTAAAAATTTAATTAAATCTAAATTATAGTAAACATTAATGTTAATAATTAATAAAAAAAATAACTTACTAGCTGAATTATTAAATATTTTTTAAATAAAAAATTTAGTTAAGTTATTTATAATAAAAGTTTAAATAAATAGTTTATCAAAAATATCTTACTAGCTAAGATATTAAATATTTTTTTAAATAAAAATTTAGTTAAATTTAAATTAAATAAATACTATTAATTAATAAAAACAACTTACTATCTAAATAATTAAATATTTTTTAAATAAAAAATTTAGATGAATTTATATTAAAAAGTTTAATTAAATACAGTTAATCAATAACTTACAATCTAGATTATTAAACATTGTTTTTTAAATAATTATTTTTAGAGTTTAAATTACAATAAAAAGTATAATTAATTGATTAATATAACTTACTTTCTGTAATATATTAATTTATTAAAATTATTATAAATATTCATTAAATTTAATTATATTAAAAATATAGTTAATATAATTAACGAATACAGCTTACGTCCTATAATATTTAAATAAAGGTTTGAGTTTACCATTTCATTATAAATAAATATAATAATTAATAAAAATAACTTACTGACTAAATATTGTTAACCGTAATAAGTTTAAAATAATAGTTAAGTTTAAATTACAGAATAATGATAAAGAATAATAATGCTTACTCCCTAGTATTATTAATAATTAGATAATTAAATAAAAAGTATAGTTGAATTTTAATTATAATGTTAAAAAAAAAAATTTCATAGGAAAAATTAAATAACTTACATTCTATAGTATATCACCAATCATTGAATATTTATTTATTTTTTAATAAAAAATAAAATCTTAATTATAATATTTGAGCAAAATAGATAAAGTCATTACCATTTAATTCTTCTAATGTAGGAGCATCAACAGCATTAGGAGCATTTGAATCTGACACTATTATAATGTATTTATCTTGAAATTAATTACTAATTTTATAACACAATATAATATTTATACAATTTATAAATGTTCTTTACTATCTAATTCTTCTAATGATTCATACAAAAATTGAATATAATTATGAATATAGTATTTGAATTGGTTAAAAATTAAATAGCGTTACCTTCTACTTCATTTAATGAGAAAGCATCTAAAACGGGTTCTAATGTGAGTTTATGTTTTTTACACAATGTCAAATAAACTTGTTTAGGCATGTTAAACTTTATGAATATATTTTTAGGTACTTTACTTTTTTTATTAATGTCAGACATCGTTATGAAAAAAAGGTTTTTTTTTTCGAATAATTTTTTTTATTTCAAAATGTCCAAATTTGTTTTGTATAACGATATTGGTGATACATATTGTTTGATAATTTTTTTTTTAAAAAAAAAAAATTTTTACGGATTGAGATAATGCTTGTTTGAATTTATTTATATAAATATAAATATAAATATAATAACTTTTATTATGCGATGTTTGACCGACCGTCTAAGCATTAGTAATTTTTTTTTCCATACTTTTTAAATTTAATTTTCCAACCAAAAACAAAAAATAATATTCGTTTTTACAAAATCGATTAGGATAATATAGGTATTTTTTTTTTTTTGATTTTTTCCTAAGTTCATTCTTTTTCCTGCGAATGAAGGAGTAAGTGGAAAGCATAAATCGACTTTTCACTTACAAGTATGTTGGCTGCGGCAACGATTGGAGTACAAAGAAAATGAAAGTTATTATCACGAAATCCCGATATCAAAACCTGACTGTCTCAACCATGATACACCGACCGTTCGAATACACTAAGCCTAATTTCTACACAGATTCTCATTAGACCGTTGGGGTAACTTAACCATCGGTAACCTTGACCTAGAATATCTCGGTAACTTTGAAGGTAGGATCTTTGATAGGCATGATTACGTATTCATCAAGATTTATGAACGTCGCATTTTGTGTATGTCGTGATTATGATTCCTTCGTATCGTTATAGTTGTCGGGATTTTGTGAGAACCTTTAAGACGAAAGGAAAAAGTTTAAAATTATTTATGTAAATTAAAGTTTGATATTGGTTTTTTGTTTTTATTTTTAATTAATAAAGGCGAGGTATGGTTAAGAACATTCTGAAACTTGTTATGAAGCAGTGCTACTTACATAAAGACGTGATCAAACAATTTAATCCATTTGTAATTTTCAAAGTCTACCATCCAAAATGAATGAGAAATTGAAAATAATAATAGTCAAGGGTGTACTTTAAAAGTTAATAATAATATAAAAAAAATCATTTTAATTCCGATTGGTTGGGCTTGGGAGATAACGAAACAAAATTCGAGATTTTTGCTGCCGGTTAGATAATATTTGGACCAAAGATACGCTTTGAAGGGTTGAACCATTTTTGGTTTAGCAATATATTAACACCATAATGTAACCTACTTTGAACAAAATATATACACTTCTTTTTGGACACAATGTTCTGCCACATGATTTTTTTTTCGTTTGAGAAAAAGTAATATGATCGTCTCAAAAACCGGTATTGTAAGGGCACTTGATGTCACATCAACAACAATGCTTAACATATTTTGATGCAAAAAAATTAAATTAACCTTTATAATGAAAAATTTGACTTATATTATGTGTTTTGTGATATAAAAAAAAATAATAATAAAACAAACAAAAAAAAAAAAAATGATTTTGTTTTTTGTTTTAATTTTATTTTATTGGTAATAATTAGTGTTGCTGTAATTTCGTAAAAATGTCACACCAAGATTCTTTTTTGTAGTTAAACGAAAGATCCTATAGCGACACGTAACAGTGCCAAAGATCGATCGTCGAGATTTTATTTTCGTTCCACGAATTTAAAAAAAATATAAAAAAAAAAAAAAATACAGAATTAACAATTTCTGCTGTTTAGATCTGTGAAACCTTTAGTATTAAAGAAAAAAATTTTATGCAACAAAATCTTCATAATCGATTCCCGTCTTAATTCACAAATACCGAATGGCTTAGTAGGCTATGCATGGCTGTGAAATTTTATTATAAGCCATAATTTATTATCAATCAGCCTCACAATTTCCTTTTTCGGTAATACAAATCAAATCGTGAATTAATTTAATCAACAGAATTTTTAAAGATAGTATTTTGATGTGTCGAAGGAATTCCGTTCCGTGATGTCGTCAATAAGCCACACGAATTTGAACACTGCCCCGGTTAAAATAATTATGAAGGCTATGTTGTAACGAAAAAAAAAAGCCTTGCTTGCCATCAACATTAGTTCGAACGGGAAATGTTATTAAGCCACTCCTATTGACCGCAGTACAATCAACGCTGAAAATCTCTCTTGCATTATCACCGATCGAAACTCCCGATAGGCAGGCTGTGCGAAGATAAGTAGATAAGTGTTGCTCTATTGTGGCTTTTCAATTTTTTTCAATTCTCTTCAGGCTTTCGCTTCTATTAAATTTATAAATTTAAAAATTCTAAAATTTTTTTTTGCATTGCCTCAAAGTAAATAAAATTCACGAATTGTTTTAAATTCGCGTTACAAATAATAATTAATAGGATATGGGGATTCATTTTTTAACTTTGTTTGTATTACGATAAAAAATATTAAAAGCTTATTTTTTTGCAAGTGATATACAATGCATCGCCACAATTAAAATATTATTATTGAGATCTTCATTTGTAACTTCAACAAAATAAAATCTTTGCAACGAAACGACATCAAATTTCTTATAAAAAAGATGAGATTTAATCAGTTTCTTTTTATCAAAAATAAAAACAAAAAACAAAAAATAAGAAAAAAATACATTTAATACCTTAAGCAGTTTTAATATCAACAACAACATGAATAAACGAATTAATTTGACGTTTTGTTCCACGGGGGTAAATGCAAATCCCCTACGGTTCGATAAACCCATAGAAGCATGATAATTATCATATGTAAGGGATTGCTTTATATTTTTTTTTTTTTAATTTTTTGATTTTGAAATCTCATCACATTTTTGCCTTTTTTATTACAGGCTGTTATGGTGTAAGTTTTAATTTTTACACGATTATTTCTTACATTATGACAATTGTGGTAAGTAAAAAGTGATTACTAATTTGTTTGTATTTGGTGAACAATGCAGTTTACTCACATTGCTTTTTTTTTTTCTTATCAGACATTATTGTCATTTGGGCCCGCCTAATCAGAAACTGGTTAGAATCTTCACAGTCGTTTGCAATTCGCATAATTAATGTTTTTTTATGCGAGCTTTTTCATATGATGTCTAAAAGCTTTTTCCGTGTATCTTACGTCCTTTCAATAATTCCATTTCTTATAATCTTCAATTATGTTTGAAAATGATTTATTTCTTTCATTTCATAATATGCCAATTTTATATTTCAAATATTTTGCATTTTTTCTTTTTTTTATTATTATTTTTGAGGGTTTTCGTATGTTGTTATTCATGCATTAATTTTTTTTCATTTATTTTCTTATTCAATTTCCATCCAATCATGTACATTCTTTTTTTTTTTATTATTATTATTACGCAAGGAAACAATAAATTTATAATAATTTTGTATTTCCAATTCAATCATGTACAATCTTTTTTTTCTGCGCAAGGAATAATTTTTAAGGAATGCAGCAAATAAAAAATGAAACTTTAATCATTTATAAATATTTTTTTCGTCTGCCTCCTTGTACATACGTTAAAAGATTTTATAATGGAATTTTTTGTACATAAAATTATTCATCCATGATACTCTCGAGTTCCAAGGTCATTTGCTTAAATTAGGTTTTGAAGCTTGAACATACCTTTCTTTGAAATAATATAAAATATTTTTTATCGGACGAATGATTTTGTGCTTCACGTGATATATAATCTTGATTGAGAATGACGTCACCTAATTTGTATTTTATTTTTCGACACTTTTAACAATATTAGGTGTTTATATATCTCATCTTTGGTTAATATTTTTACTCGTAAAGGCATTATTTGCTTGTTTTGGGATTTAAATAACACGTTACGGATGATGTGTTCGTAACTCGATTTTAATAGTAAACCTCCCATTTTATCTAATTTTTCTCAACTAAATAATTTGGACATTCTTTTAACGCTCCCATCTTAATGCAACAGTTTCAGACAAGTAGGATTTTATCATTGAATTATCATAAATCAAATATAAATTTTCAACGTTAATTCTTGTTTTTCTTACGATGCAGATTTTAAACCTTCCATGTAGTTCCAATTTACAAAGTATTATTTATTTATTAAATTTACAAAAGTTCAATATACTTTTTCCTTAAAAATCAGGAACAAATCATCATTTTAACCGTTGTCAACAATTCAAAGTTTCATTAAAAATGACAGCAGTAAGTAAATATATTTGAAATGAACAAAAAAAAATAATGACGACGATAAAATTGATTAAATTCCAAAATTTAAAGAAAACTCTACAAATTGATGCATAATTTACGCGCCTATTCAAAAATTTATCAACGGGGTTCATCGTTTCCCGATAAGATAAGGCCGGGCAAAAAAAATTTTTAGATTCTCATGACATAAAATTTTAAAATTGACACGGTCACCCGGCTTTTTTTTTTTTATATAAATTTTTTTTATATATTATGTTTTGTATTACGCAAATAGTAAGGTAAATGAAGGATATTATTATTATTTAGTGAGTGTTATATGACAGTTTCTGACAAAAAAAAACGTGCTAAGAATATCAAGTTTCAAATAACAAAAAAATCACGAGTTTTTGTAAAAATTGAGACGGTCGGGTCACGAGAATCTAAAAAATTTTTTTGCCCAGCCTAATGGTGAAACCAAATGGATGGGGACTTTTAGCGTTAAGTTAAATTTTATACTAATAGAGCATGTGATGATTAATTTAAAAAATTTTGACTCGGACTCTTGGGAGCTCGATTTTTAAAATTGGTTAAAAATGGCTTGTAACTCAGGAAATTCCGGATTTATAATCGGTTCCAGAACCGACGATGACGCACATGAATAACGGTCAGGTCGTTTTAAATTTATTCTACAAAATCTCACTTATTTTTCTTTTGAAAAGATTCTCAATTTTAGAAATAAGTGAAAAGATTAAATTATAATAACGATGAAATTTGTAGGAAAGCAGAAGGAATAAATGATAAAGTTCAATTGTGCATTTCAAATAAAGCTATACGATTACCAAGATTATCAAACGCTCTTATTAATGCTTCGTGCAAGTAGACATCCGAATCGGTCAAAAAATTTTGTATTCGATTAATTACTTTATGATTCAAATTAATCATGATTATTCGAATCATCCGGATCATCTATCTTTGTAAATTCAAAAGTCACGGGATTGCTGTGTTCCGAGTATAGAATGTTTAGTAAAGTCTCGGATATTATCAGCTTTCCAGCTTCCTGTGAATTCTGAAACTAGCTATTTTTTTGGTTTATTTTTTAGTTAATTATTATTGCAATATTTAGGTTTTCTATGATGAATTTTGATGGTGACTCGAAAATTAGTATCAATCAAAGAAACAAATATCTGAACATCACATCGTAATCATGTGATTATGGATACGAGAAATTATTTGATTTATTTGATTATATTAGGTTGAGGAGAAAGGGATATTTCTATATAAAGGTAAAATTTTCTTTTTCGCTTTTTTATTTTAAAAAAATAAAAGAGTGTATATTAATGAAATGAGTAAGTTTGCGATGAGTCACAGAGTCAGAGTAACAGAGTCATTAGTATTCAGCTAGAATTTCTACTAATTAACGCTAACTTCACTTTTTTTATTCTTTTTTATTAAAGGTGACCGAACGTGTACGTTATATTCGAGTTGCTATGAACTCGTAACATGCATCACATGCAAAGCTTGCGAATATCATTGTTCTTGTAAGTATGATAATTCTTGAATATGTGACTCTGTGACGTGACTCGACTCTTCAGTGGAAATATGAATAATAAAATTATTACTTCCTTTAAAATAAAAAAAACTTATTATTCTTGATGTTTAATAAATATCATAAATATCATATCAATACAAATTTTCTATTGAGTTGGAATTGTATAAATTTTTGTAGTTTCATTAAATTTTCTAGCGGTGTCAAGTGAACTTTTGTTAGGAATTTCATTTTAATACTTAATAAAACCGAGCGCATTTTCCAAAATTTTGTGAATATATTGAATTGATTTGTTGATATTAGGGATGGTAACGGTCGGTCATGGTCGGTCACCGGTCGGTCAACGGTCTGTTACAGCTAATTTCAAAAGTCACGGGACGGACGATCATTTTGCAGATCGATAAAAAAAACTCGGTAAAACTCGGTAAAGAATTTTTTGAAGAAAAAACATAATCGCTACGTTCGGATCAGTGTTCCGAATATAGCGACATAATTTTTTTACCCATATATAAAATGTGGTTGGCTTTTCAATTCCTTATAAATGTTCTCGGTAAAGTCTCGGATATTCTCGGCTGTCCCGTAACTTATGAAATTAGCTGTAAAGCATACATAAAAATTCTAATATTTCGTATCACTGATAAGCAATATACGTTTGAAAATTGAATCAAAAAAAAGTTTTTGATATTCAAATTTCGAACATCCAATTTAAGCAAAAAAATTAATTTCCTTACAGCTAATTTCAAAAGTTGCGGGACATGTAAATTATCACAGGGACGATGATTTATTGTATTTATTGTGATCACAGATTTGGCTCAAGTTTTTGGCCTAATTTAAGATTTGCAATCATTGTAATTTCGGTAGACACTAAATTTGGCCAGAATTTACGAATCGTAATGTGCTTAATTCCGGTCCAAATCTCAAATTTCACAGAATTTACTTTTTATCACACACAAAATTTACTGTTTATCACCACAAAATCATCGTCCCTGGTTTATTGGCACTGTTTCGGATTGGTCGGTAATGTCGGAAATGTCGGTGCCAATCAAATGATTAGAAATTTCTCGGCGCCAATCAAATTACAGTATTAGCGCAAAAAAATCGTATAAATATATATATATATATTTTTTTTTTATAAGGACTTTATGTATTTTAAAAATCCTTTAGGTGGGCATAAACAATCTTTACCATAAGTTTTTTTCACATAGAGACAAATTGGACAAGCATTTAAACGGAAGCTTAATGAACTATTCATTGTTAAAGTTAAATAACGTGAGTAAAAAAATTGAATACGTATTTATTTATATTTGATTGGTGCTAACTGATTTATAAATTTGATTGGCGCCGAGAAATTTCTAATCATTTGATTGGCACCAACATTTCCCTACACTTTTTTCAGCATTTGTAATCCGAACTAAGAAGAATTTGCTGATAGTCATAATCCATTTCCATAAGTATCATTTTGTTATCTGTGACCCGGCGTCTATAAACCTTCACAGAAAACAAAGCAGGTAAAGTGAGAAGTTACCTGTATAAAATTAATTTGGAATGGCATACATACCAATAGTTCATCTTCTTGTTTTATATAAAGAAAGCACATTATCAAAATCCTTTTCAGGATGGTATTCCTGTTCCTCAAAAAATGTAATCATCACTTTATAAATTTTCTTATGAATTCGAATCCCTAGTATCTTAAGTATTACTTGGACATGACCGTGCAAAACTTTAAATTCTTTTTCGATTTTTTGAAAATGGAAGTAACGAATTCTTAGTTGCTGCTAATACAGAATACTAGAATTAATTGTGGTTAATTTATTTTTTGCAGATATTATATTTAAGAGCACCGAATCTATAGTAGCGACGCACTCTTGTGTATGAGTCTTCTGTTCCGACATCTTTTTTTAATAAAAAAAATAATAACTATTATAATAGATTAAGTGTTCACTGTAAAATGCCATCATTCCGATATAAGTCAAGTATTTATGGCATCATTCCTTCTAATCTGTAGAATTGCAACTAATAACAAAGATAATAAAAGTTCAACTCACATCAAAGTATTTTCATAAAGTTGAGGATCAATTTTTGTAAAAAATGCCGACTTGCGTAACTTTATACGCGTTGATCATCTAATTAGAAAAAAATATTAATATTTTCAATTGAATCAGGAATTATTGAATGGTTCAGGTCAAAAGCTTGACGGGAATAAAGATTTTTTGTAGATAATGGATCAAATAAAAAAAAAAATGGTTTGTCAAATTTTATTTTTTTTTTTGTTATAATAAAATTTTATATTGTGATGATGGTATCAATTTACAAAGGTATTTTTTTAAAGAAAATGATTTTTTTAAATTTACAGAGGCGTTAAATTTTTTTTTTATTTTTATTAGAAGCGACGATTTTTTTTTTTTTTAAAAGAATTTATTTTATTACGAGACGGTGAATTTATTTTTTTAGGATGGGGGTTTTTTTTTTTAATTTATTTTTTTAAAAAAAAAATTTTACTACGGAGCGATAATTTTTATTTTAATTTTTGCTACGGAAGTGACGAATTATTTAAAACTTTATTTTTAAAATTTATTTTATTGGGGATATTATGAAATAAAAATAAAAACTGGTCAGTTGATCCACCCCCTTTGCTGACCTTACTTTTTTAAAAAAAAACTTTTTTTTGTAATCAGTTTTATTTAATTTATATTACTAGTAAAACCTCCAACAAAAATCTAAATCAGGCCCAGTGTCGAAGATACATCATTTTTGATACATTAGCTTGGTTCAGACGCTTATGGACATTAATTTGACACATTTTAAATTATTAGCTCATCAAATCTCTCAAAGATTTGTTGATCGACTCTAATACTAAAATGGAATAGCTCAGATTTTTGATTGGGTTTTTAATTATTGATCAATGACACTAAAAAAAAAAAGTAGATTAACTGTATCTATTCGCTTTTTTGTTATTTTTTTTTTTTATAAAAAAAGAACTTAATAAACATGCCATTAGAAATTGTTTATACACTTCAACTAAACTTATAAACCCGGACCTCGAGAGAAAATAAATTACTATTAATACCATGCGTTCATTTCACAGTTAAACTTTAAACCATTTACTGAACAAAATGTCTTTCAACAGGACAGCAAAATTTACTCCTTCAACAACAAAATTCTTGTCTTGATTTAATAAAAATATTGTTAATAAATTTTCAGCATATCATTTAAAAAAAGAAAAAAATGTTTATTGATGAGTCTACCAAAAATTTGTATCTTTGATTACGTTTTAGGATTGGTTAATGGAATTTACGATCAAAAATCTGATCAATCAGAATATCATCTTAAAAAGAAATTGGTCAAAAATCTAACCTTCTGTCATTTCAAATGAAAGAAGGGTATTTTTATAAAAAATTAATTCTTTGTTAACAAATTGTGAAATCAAATTTGGATAATAATTAGCCAGATGAAATTTGTAATTAATTTGATCTATAAAAATTTGGAAATGATTAAAAAATCTTTTATTAAGTAGAATGATAATAATCAACAATTGAAAATAATATTTTATTATAGAAAATATATAAAATAACATTAGATAGCGATCTTCTTATAATTGTAATTTTGTATAAAATGGATGGAAAATTGTTCTTTTAAAAAGACAGAGATAACAGTGATAACTTAATAGTTTGAGTTAAAGTCTTAGAATACAAGGTTAAGGATTACTAAGGATATAATCTTTACAATAAAAGAATCTTTTTCTAAATTATATATATATTAAAATCCTTTAATGTGTTCATCATATTTATTATTCTTACAAATTGTTAAAGTTATTTTATTCATCTAAATTATAAATCTAAGGTTGATTGTAATAGAACTTATTCTATAGTAATTTGATAGTTTCTCACACATTACTCTCTATTATTAATTTATCATTACCCTAAGTTTAACAGATTGAACATAAGGCTAACAACATATAACATAATATTTAACAATATAAAATTCTATTAGATGATCAATATATAAGATAGAAGATCATCTGCAATGCTTTAAACAATTATACTAGAAAAGAAAATTGTTCTAATCTAAAGTATAATTTTAATAATAATATAAGTTAATTTTACTAAAAATATTTATATAATACAAAATTAATAATAAATAAATTTATATAATTTATTCTTTCAATTAGGCTCTAATATGAAATGATATTACAATTAATATGCCTAAGAATAAAAGATCTTTTGCATACTTTAGATAATTATATATTATATAATATTATATATATACTGTATATATATTAAAATACTTTTGTATAATAGTTATATTTAGAATATACAATATATATAAATAATTAT